GTTCCCGTCAGACCAACGGACCAGCTTCCCTCCGCCCTAAGCCTCCCTGTCAGCGGGCGAGCAGGCGGGCAGGGCCTGCAACCACAGCAACCGAACAGGGGGCGGGCTCAGGCTGCTAGCTGGGCCGTTCCGGACCAATGAAAACCCTTCGAGCCTAAACCCCTACAGCCAATCGGGCATAGAATGGGCAATAGAGCTGGTTTCCGGCACCGAGACTGACGGACACTAGGGCCAATCACAAATTTGAGTTGCTTACGCCCTCGCCGTAAGTCCCTACCGCAGCCAATAAAACAGCTGAGTTTAAGACACTTCCCCCTCCCATTTTTCCCATCGGATCATGGGAAAGATAACGGGCAGCTGCTCTAGCCAATCACGTTAAGATAATGTGCAGCCAATCAACAAAGGAAAGTGAAGGCACCAAAGGAAAGGGATAGAGAGGTAAGAAAAATTTTAAATCAATGAACGTAAAAAGAAAGAAAAGAAAGAACTTTCCACAAATGCGTAATGTAAGTAGGAAAGTAAGAATATGTTAAAATGTGGGGCTAGCACCACGAACTGCAGAGTAGTAACTTCAAAATGCGATAGATCCCTTTAGCTCTCTCAGTAACCCTGGAGTTGATCATTGATTTACAAAGAATTATATAATTAAGCATAGTAACACCAGAGTGACACTTTAGTCGGAGAGCCAGTCACTGAGCCAGTTAATTCTCTATGTTAGGTCCTAGACACAGGATCAGACTTGGTGCCCCCTGAGACGCTCACAGTCAGGTAGAGGTCAGCCGGAAACAGGGAGGTATTCGGCAGCTAACGATGAGCTTAGCAACCCCTCACGGTGCAGTCTTTTGTAAGAATCTTCACAACCCTGTATACCACAAAAACTTATATAGAGTGAGCAAGGAGGACCATCCCTATTTTATAGACGAGGGGCTGAAACCAGAGAGATAAGGCTTGTTCATGGATACCTAGCTCTTGAATGGAAGGCTGTGTCCAGGCAAAAGTTCTTTCCTGTTATTCAACTCAGTGAAACTGTAATCTTTGATAGTTGAAAAGCACTTTTAGATTTTGCAGTTCTCTCAGAACACCACTGTAAGGTTTATCATTTGATTTATGGAGAAAAATGGTGTTTATTTGAACTCTCCTCCTCTGCCCCATGCCCAAGAAGGACATATGCCAAATCCACTTGTAGCTAGAAGTAAACAGAGGGAAGAAATAAACACTGAGCGTGTACCATTTACCAAATGCTTGATATATATTATCATTGTCATATTTCCTTTAATTCTCCTTCACAAGAGCCTTAGCAGGTAGATATTATTATACCCACTTTGCAGATTAGGAAATTGTAGTCATGAGATATTATATAAATTGTCAGTGGCACAGGACTAGAAAGTTGAAGAACTGGAATTTGAACCCAGAAAAGGCCTCTCTTCATCACACTGCTCTCTTTAAGGAAAAGCCTACTGGAACCTGCCTCCAGAGAATTTAAGTGACATCTGGGTATTTATACCTCACTCCTGATGAATGTACCCTGAAGTAACTTTATTATTCATATCTCCCCTTTTCCCATGTAATAACCTCCAAAATAGTCTTCATCCCTCCAGCCTCTTTGTAGAATCCAAGGTGTCCTTGCTGCCTAAAACACAATCTTCTACAAATCTCTAGGATCTGCCTGTTAAAGTCCACATCTTTTATCCTAGCAATCAAGACCCTTGATGATTTTGGCCCAATTATCTTTATAAGCAGTGTCTTCCTCCTACCACTGGGTCTGGTCCTCAAGCCATCTGGTCTACTAAGATGTTTGCATTGTCAAAAATCTTTTAATTTGAACAGGATCCCTGAACATCTAGAGGTGGCTGTTACTTCTAATTTTTCAATCAACTTTGTTGAAGTATGAATTACATAGTCCAACCCTCTGTGTGTTGCAAGAACCTATTGTTATCTTGGAAGAATAGGGTGTGGGTTGAATGTGGACCCAGTTAGCCTCAAGGGTTTTAGACTGGAACTTGGATCTATGAAGTTGTATTTCCTTCATTAACGATTAAATAAGCTTACTCTTTATTGATACGAGAATTATGCTTTTACCCTTTTAGTCGAATTTTTTGTCTATTGTGTAAGTTCCAAAAAATTTTGGTTAGTTATTTGTTGTTAATTTTACCTATAATTTAAAAAATGTATTTTATTTCATTTTAAATTTACTTATTTTAATTTTTGAGGAGGAGGGAGGTAATTAGATTTATCTATTTATTTACTTTTAAAGGAGGTACTGAGGATCGAACCCAGGACTTCCTGCATGCTAAGCACATGCTCTACCACTGAGCTATTCCATCCCCCTAATTATACCAATAATTTTTAAATCAAATTTATCGAGGTATCAAGTATTTACAGTAAAATTCCCACATTTTAAGTGAACAAGGCCGATGATTTTTGACAAATATATACACTCAGGTGACCACCACCCCCATCAAGATATGTAGCATGGCAATTACAATTTTAGCAATCTGAGAATTGATCTTTTAGACTGCAGAGAGAGGGCCTTGTGTTTTCAGAAAAGTAAGTGAATATTTATTTGTAGGCAAGAACAATAGTCTTCAATGTTCACGGTGAAAGAAGGCTACAGTTCAACATATATTCAGGAAATAGCCTGCCACTGCAATGTTTTTTTCTGTCTAGCGGACTGCTATACCAGATGATCCCTAAAGACACTTCTAGTTCTGATTTGTAAAGACTCAGCTACTGGTCTCTCAAGGCCCATGTACTACTGCAGCAAAGGGTGGTGGGCAGGGGCTTCTGAGATCATCTTAGGAGAGTGAAACAAGCAGGACAGTAAGTGAACTACAGACTCAAGATTCTTGGGAAGGTGAGGTGTTTGAAATAAATAACAGCTGAAGAACACAGGACAACTATCAAATGTAACTTAGGGCTTCTGTGAGTCAGAATTTACTGCCTCAAATCCCAAGCAAAAGAAGATCAAGAGAAATAGGGTAGCTTTTCAGCTGCCAAACCCTCTCAGCAACTCTCCCAGGTAAAATTATTCCAGGAGCTTTGTTCTGCCCAGTTTCTTTCCCTTTGAAGTACTGCTTTTCCATTAACAAGGGAGCCTTGCAAAATCACCCTGTGATCGGACATGTCATAGTCTATAATGTGGGTCCATCTGCTTTCAAGTCGAAGTTGTATCTCTAAGCAGACTTAATGTGCTGTCAAGCAAGGTCCTAAGTTCCCATTCAAATGCAATTCTACAAATAGGGAAACTTGGAAGCAGGGACTGTGAGGAAGCTACTACAATACAAATGAGATGATAGTGGCCAGGACTAGCATCATGGAGGCCAGGTGGTGAGAACTGAGTCTGGGAATATTTTGAAGGTAGAGCCAACCAAATGGAGATGCATTCACTGTGTGGTGTGAGAAAGACGTAAGTCAAGTGTGGTTCTGAGGCTTTGGGCAGAAAGAATGAAGTTGCCTTTAACTAAGATGGGGAGAACGGGAGAGGAATGAGGTTGAAGCAGAAAATCAGAAGCTTGGTTTGTAAGTGTTAAGTTTGAGGTGACTTTTAGACATCCAGGTACTTACATGGGCTATGAGTCCACCTCAGGGGTGGGGTGTGGGATGGAGATTAAAGTGTGGGAAGACAACAGCATATGGAGGGTACTTAAATCTACTGGACTGGATAAGCCACGCAGGGAGGGAAGGTAAACAGAGAAGAGACCCAAGGACCAAGCCCAGGGAGGAAGGCCAGTCCACTATTTCGTGATGGGAGAGATGAGGAGGAATCAACAAAGGAACGTAAAAAAGAGTAGCCAGTGAGGAAGGTCCTTCCACAACACTTACTATTCTCTATGTAATGCTATGTAGAGTATACATTCTGGAAGAGATGGGAAGTCCTAAATAAATAAATATGTTAGATGGTTACAAACAAGGGATCCACATTTCTGGTGAGTGAAGCTTACTTGAAGAATAAAGAACAGAAAATTACAAAACCAAACTACGAAGGAAGGAGAATATTTATCTAGAACAAGAAATCACAACGTAAATTGTGGGAGAAATCTTGCAATTACAAACTGCAATTTGTATTTTTAAAAAGATGACAACATAAACATCACAAAATCCAGAAAGAAATGAATTTAATTTTCTTGAACACCTCCATAATATTTTTTCTTTTTAAGGCTGGATAAGCTTTGATTACCTCTTTATATAACAACAATTTTGTGTCATTTTTCATAATGGGAATGGAAGGTAATTTAGTCTTTCCTCTAGCCTGTTCAAAAATTTTTTAAATT